GGGGAGATGGCCACAATCTTTGTTGTTGTCACTTTTCTTCAAATTTTTGTGATTTAAAAAAATAGTTACAGAATGGATTAAACTTATTTACATTGAACCTTATGGGGAAAATTGACTTGGCTCATGACCAATTTGGGTCATGACCAGAGCCCTGGAACGGATTAAGTTCATAAACCAAGGTATATGTGGTGCAGGTTTCCTGTCTGATTGTACAAAACCAGCATGTTGCTGACCTGAACACTGATACATGCCCTTTATGATCAGGCCCCCACAGCTACTGCTTGGAACATCTCCATACAACAAAGAATTCTCAGGAAGTGACATGATTCTGCAACCCACTGCTGGCTGGCCATTGACTCTATTTCTTGTTTACAATGCAACTATAAGTGTGCTCTCTATATACCCTCATATGTGAAGACAGCATACCATGGAAAAGGGTTCTAGATTAGGACATGACACATTGTTTAAAGGTAGCAGTGGAGCTTTCCCATATGCTAGCACCCCTGAGAAGTCAATGTTAGTACAGTCATATTCTCAGGGAATGTTACCATTTGTCAAATGTAAATCAGTGCAGTTTCGGCTCTGTAAAATCTACCAAAAGGCGGGGTGTGGGGGACCCCTAATCATCAGCACCAACAACAAACCAAAAACTGTTTGGATCGGATTCTCAGATAACCATTTTTCCGTCTTCAGAGTAGTTATTTCGTTGAGGTCATTATAATGCATATTGACTATAGGGCAAGGCTTTTTACAACTAGCGCTTATTAAAATAGCTTATGCTTGATTTACCCTAAGTTACATTCCGATAATAATACATTAGGAAATCAATACTTAACATATTGTAATGGCTATAAATGTTATAAACTCAGACATATCTCCACTTGTTTCTTAATAAATGATATCCCCATTGAATTTCCCAGGAAATATGAGTCAATTAAATTGAGCTCCCAATTTAATTAACTGGTTGATAATTCATTGCTGCACAGTAATTATATTCTTTTTCTCTTGCTAACTTCTAATTTGTTGTATGTATTGTTTTGTTTCGTAGTTATTATATGATACAGATTTCCTGTTTGGGTGCTGCCTAACGTCTAGTGAAAGCTGATATGTTATGTTTCCATATCTGGGCATTCTTGCTTTATTGACTGCCATTAGGGTTATTCTTAATGGCTCCACAGTGGGAAAGAAAGAGAGGCAGGGCACAGGCTTCTGCCATTGCCAGACCTCCCAAGTTATGGCACAAGGAAACTAAACATGCCCCAATCTATGGTGGTGCTAGGTATGACTTCTGCATGTGGAACAGAAAGTGCCAAGAGTCAGTCGGACTGGATATCTCCCGAGGGCCCACTCCAGCAGAAGCCGAGCTCTCTGGACATGTTCTCCTCTTCCCAATTGAAACCTGTGAGTTTGCCTGCCTTTCATTCTGCCAGAGAGGAGCAGCAGATGCTACAGCTTGCTTGCACACTGAATCTCTACTGGTCAAGACAGCAAGTGGTAGCCATGATGAGAAAAGAGAAGAAAGCAATAGCAATGGCACTGAGAAGGCAGACTGAAAGAGCAGCATGCTGAGGGCACCTGGTCCAAGGACACTCAAAAACCAGGAGCCATCACTGCTTCCTGTCCCCCACCCCCATATACTGTCTTATCTAAATGACCACTTTCCCACATCTCCCATTTGGAAGATGCATAATGAAGAAAGCTGCCCTCAGCTGGATCAGCTGTTTACAATTTACAGTCTCTCCTAGCTATGGCTCAGCAAGTCAATAGACTGTATTATCTCTCTCATCCTCACAACAACCATGAAGTATATCACTGTTACTTCCACTGTTACAGCTTGGAGCTGGCACTGAAGGTCAAGTGACATATTCAGAAAATGAACATGGCAAAGCCTGGGATGGCTCCTGGGATGGCACTATTTAAAAATGCAAATGGGGAAGAATGGCAAAATTCTAGCTCCCTAACTTTCTAAGAAGGGTGGGGGGGGGTTGTGTGTGGAAATGTTCCAACCTGCAATGTCTCTGTCTCTGTCTCTCTCTCTCTCTCTCACACACACACACACACACACAGAGAAAGTGGGAAAGAGAGAGTAAAGTGATACAGCTTTTTCTAAACAGTTAGATAGTGGGAAGTGAGTGGATTAAGCTAAGCTTAACTCAAAAAGTGCTAACTTTGAACAATTAAGGATATTGTTGTTATTATTACTATTATTATGGGTAGCTGTGCCATTGGCATACAAGCTTTAATTCTTCTATATTGGCAACTAATTTTAAAAAGTATAACCAATTCTGATAAATTAGCTCTTTTGAAGGAGGGGTTTAAGCTGTAACTGATAATAAAAATATTCATATAATATGTTCCTTTCTTCTGTTATTACCAGAGATAACATGAGTCAAGTCAGCATGGGGTTTCATACATTGATTGTTTCCACAAACAGATGAGTGACCTTGCAAACCTCCCATCCAAAGAAACATGCCTTATGGTAATCTCTTAATTTTAGCAGAGATCCAATCTGTTTAGGGAGCATAGGATAGTTCTTCTTGGTTGTCAACTGAGAGCGCAATCCTAGGCATGTTTAGACATTTAAAAAATCCTGCAACTCCCAACACTGTCTAAACATGCACATGATCACCTTCTCAAAGGGTCATGTTTGGCACAGGGATGGATAGTGACTGGTAACCTCCATCACAAACTCATTTTCCAGAACAAATTAACAATTCTACAATGTGTTATCACTATGCAGTATCATTAACTTACAAACTTGCTGCAATGAGATAAAAGTATGTTTTGTGAACAAATGTTACACTGCAACAAAATGGAAAATACCATCAGCAATAAATGTGTGACTTCAAAAACTACAGAATTATCTGTTAATTATAAAATTAAACTCAGTTAAGTCTCAGAGTGGATGATGGCAAAAAGAAATCTTTCACAAAAATAGCATGCATCAATTAACTATTAGACTGTAAAGCATTATAATTCAAATATATTCATATCTGCATAATTTTGTGGACAAGAGCTCTTTCTTGAGTTGGCAGGTTGCAAGCAAAGGAACAAGTGTTTAAAAGAATGAACAAAGCTGCAACATTTCTCCCACATCACTAGCTTGTAACTTGAAACACACTAGCAAAGTCTGAGATAAAGTTGTTTGCTCCTGAGTTCTGCTTGACTTTCTTTGGATCATTTTGGTCTATCCTTCTCCCAGTTTGCTGCTGTAGGTGGGAAGGAAACTTATGAAAGGCTTAGGGGAGAAACACATGGAAGTAACAGGTACAGCTCCTGTATATTTGAATAATTAGTACATTCAAAGATAAGCACATAATCTATATAATTTATTCTTGCAATATAATTTCTAATTTAAGATAATATTACTTGCTGGTTTGAAATGGATACTGCTTAAAGAATAGTAGTTAGCAGGAAGCCACTGAGTTGTGTGAAGATTCCAAAATCATAGGTTAACAATACATCACCACCACCTACTGGATACTGATGGAACCACCAAGACATCTGAAGGTAGAAGAAACCAACACTCAATGGATAAAAGAATAATTATTCCCTCACAGCACATTAAAAAATCTGACTGGCTTTTATAAATGTTTTAGCTTTATTTTATCATTGTTTTAGTGTTATCCATTTAGTGTTACTATTTCTACGTATGTTGTTTGTTAGCTGGGATGTTCTAAGAAGAAAGGTATGTTTTATTGTTATGTGCTGTCAAGATGTCTCCAATTTATGGCAACTGCATAAATGAAAGCCCTCCAAAATGTCATATCCATGTCTTGTAAGGTATGATTCTATTTATTAATTATTAGTAGTAGTAGTATTTAATTCCATTAAATAAACATTATTCATTGTACATATATAAAACAACTCTGAGAGCTGTACTTTCATGGTTTCTGTTGAATCAGAGGGACCCTCTACTAACGAAGCAAGAACAAGACAGGTCAAACAACCCTAGAAATGTGTCAGAACACTCATTCCTAGAACAGGATAGGTCTGGTTAAAAGCAAGGCATAGGGGAAGGCACAGAAAATTCCATAAATTTTGCCAGATGCTCCAGTTATGAAGTCTACACTTTAGCCCCATTCTGAAAATTGAGATCTACAGTCTGAATGAATTTATCAGTGGTAGACATTTCAGGTATCAGGTAGTAATCTGGATCTATCTAAACTGCAGATCTTATAGCCAAAACATTTGCAGACTTTTCTAATTCTTTTCCTAGTACCTAGGCTGATGAAAAGCTCTGGAGAACTCAAAAGTTCGCACATTCGTGTAGAATTTTGGTTAGCATTCTTGCAAATAATGGTATTGCCTATGACTTTGGATATCCCCACCCCCACGGACCAGCATAGCGGTGTAGCTTAAGCAAGTTCTGACCCTGGCTTTAACCATTATACAGAGAGAGGACTTTGTTAAGTTCAGTTGTTCAGTTGTTAAGGACGTAACTAACATTTATTGCTCTTCCATTCCAACCACTCCATTCCATACTTCCTACATCCCTGGTATATTCGAACAATCTGATTTGAAAAGAAAAAGAAAAAACACTTCTATGCATACAGGTTCACATTTTACACACACTTAAATTTAGCACCTTCATAACCACAGGATTCAACTGCAGTTTGCTTCTACTTCTCTCATGCCTTTCTCACCCACAACTCTCATTTGGAGACCCCGCCCCAGCTGGAGAACCCTGGACTTTGGCTCGATGTCCTGCCCTAGCTGTACTACTGGATCAGCATAGCTCTGACACAGTCCACCAAATATTTTTTTAAAGTTTGCTTCCGACCGTTCCATAATGCACTTCCATTCTAATAAATGCATCGTTTTATTATACGAATTAATTTTCAGACCCCCGTATCGTTCTATACAGTTTTGAACCTATTTATATCTATGAGCTTCCCTTCTTTCCTCTCCAATATGGCGTCACTTCCTGTTCCCTCAGGAATAACATCCGGGCCATCAGATGTCCCCGAGAAAGTTTTTTTAATTGTTACTATTTTCTCAGACGGCCCATGTGAGAGGGACTCGCGAAGGGAGCGGGAACGGACGGGTGGGGGCGTGGTCCACCTGCTCGCCCGCGCGGCCGCTGCCATGGCTGCGAGGGACGCCGGGGGGTCAGCGGCGCTGGGCCGCGGCCGGTGCTGCTGCTCGGTTCCGTCGTCCGGTTTCGCCCGGCGCTTGCGCCCCTGCGCCGGCTGCTGAGGAGCCCCTAGCCCGCTCCGCGTAGGGCCGTGGAGGATGGCCGAGGCGGCCGCCGAGGTGGTGAGCCTGCGGGAAAAGGTGGCTGCTCTAGAGGAGGAGTTGGGCGCCTGTCAGAGCCGCCTGGAGCGGGAGAAGAAGCTGCGCCTCAAAGCCCAGGCCAGCGCTGCCAAGTTACGGAGACAGGTGCGGGCCGGGTGGGAGCGAGGGACGGAGAGGTCAGTGGGGATAGAAGCGATGCCGCCCCTCAGCGCTGCCCTCCTCACAAGGCTCTCTCCACAGGACGCCCCTCCAGTCCACTCGCGCTCCTCTTAATTTGCTTCTTTGATGGCAAGCAGCTTGCCTGTTATTACATTTATGCCCCCCTTTCCTCTTTTACGGAACTCAAGAGGACCTGTATGGGCTACTCTTGCATGTTATCCTAAAACAACAACCCTAAGAGTTAGGCTAGGCTTAGAGTCAATGACTGGCCCAGAGCCATCCAGTGAGCTTTACAGTTGAGCGGGGACTAGAACCCAGAACTTTTGAGAGCCAGCCCAATGTCCTGACCAGGATAACACACCAGTGTAGCTTTCCTTAACCACTTTATTTTCCATCCTGGAAAATAATGCATAGGTTTTTACCCGTCAGATAGTTATTAAAATTAAAAGCTTTAACAACTGCCAGAGGAAGGGTGACTCTTCCTAAGTATCCTTTGCTTTATTTAATAATTCTTGTATCTTGACCTTCAAGTTGCTCTGGTGTGAAATTTTATAAAAATTCCATAGCCCAACAAACAGCCCTGTAAGGTAGGTTAAGCTGAGAGATGGTGATTGGGCTGTGGTGACTAAGTGAGCCTCATGTTTGGTGAGGCTTTGAATCTTGGTCCTCCTGGTCCTAGTCCAACAAGAATGCATTACTGGTTCCTGCTTGGCCTAAGCTGACTCCCATTAAAATATGGAAGTGGCTGTATGGACAGGCACAGATCTGACATTCTAGATTACTATTTATTTTCAAATCCTTCCTTGGATATTGAGTTGTAACCTAGGTCCTTTTCTCTCTATATTTAACCCAGACATTAACTGACCAATTGCTTATGCCATGCCTCCTTAAATCATGTGGCAACTGGTAGAACTCTTAATACTGAAATGCATGGTGCAAAAAGATTGTCAGTTCAGAGAAAGTAGGGCAGGCATTTAACAAATCAATAGATGTCAGTAAATTAAACTCATTCACTTACTCTGTGCAACTATCTTCCTCTTGAATTGTACTTCTCTGCCTGAATATTCCGTGTTCTCTTTTTAAACATTTCCCAAGATCCATCTCACTTGTAGTGTTGTTGAGTCCAGTATCTCCCAACTTGTAACTGTGTAGTTGGTTCCCTTTTTCTAGATGTAGAAAGTGATTTTTTCCTGTTGATTTTCATTCTGTTGCTTTCAGCCCTGTGCTCCAGCCTGTCAAGATCACTTTGATTTTTGATTTCTGTCTATGTCTACTAGGATATTAGCTGTTGCACCCAATATTGTGACATCTGCAAATATGATCAGCATTTCCTTCACAATTCATCCGCATCATTAATAAAAATGTTACAGAGCACTGGGCTGAGGATGAGTCCTGTGATACCCTACTCGCTACCCCTCCGTGGTCTAAGAAGATTTCATTGAGAAGCACTCTCTGAGCCTGATTCCATAGCCATCTATGGATCCACCTGATAGTTGTTCCACCTAGCGTACTTTTAGTTAATCTGCTGATCAGAATGTCGTGGGGCATTTTGTCAAAAGCTTTACTGAAATCAAGATATATTATGTCCACAGGATTGCCACAGTTCACAAGGGAGATTAGCCAATCAAACATTTGCCTTTTTTTTTTTTTTTTTTTTTGGTGAATGATGAGATCATATTAGTCTGGCAAGACTAGTTCTTGAGAAATCTGTGCTGGCTTTTAAAATTATTTATTTTATTATTTAAATTTATATACTGCAACATAAAGCCCAAATTACACCCAGGTTCTCTGGGTGGTGTACATTCCATTAAAAATCAACAATAAAATAAAAGATTCCATAAAATACAACAGTATTACAATAAGAATAGCTATAGAAGTTTTAAAATATCAATTAAAATTTATTAAAATACAATGTAAAAATGAAAATCATAAAAAATTAATTAGTAGCAATTTAGTAATTACTCCATTGCTTTCAGGGTGCTTACATCATGACTTCTTTAGTATTTGCTCCAGAATTTTCCCAGGGATTTATGTCAGACTAAATGATCTGTAGTTCCCAGGATTCTCCCTTTTGCCCCTTTTGAAGATAGGGACAACATTAACCCTCCTCCAGTCATCTGGCATGTCATCCATCCTCCATGATTAGTGTTAGAGGCCCTCCTCCAGGAGCCGTCCTTGAAAGAGATCAGGAGGGCAACTACCCAGAGGAAGGCCTCTCTGCGGTGGCGTCCCAACTGTGGAACACGCTCCCCAGAGAAGCATGGTGCCAATGCTTCTTTCCTTTCGGCATCAGGCAAAACCCTTTTTATTCTCCCAATATTTTAATTGCTAATTTGTTTTAATTGGAGGTTTTATACTTAACATTGGATGCTGTGCTACTCCTATTCTTATTTCTGTTTTTATTCTGTTTTATTAATGGTGTTGCAAACCATCCCAAGACATCTGTGATGGGACGATATAGAACAGTTTTAAACAAATAAATGATTTCTCAAAGATAATTATATCTTTATTATCAGTAGTTCTGAGAGTTATTCTGCCAGTTCCTTTATTATTATAAGATGCAGTTCATCAGGCCCTGGAAATTTGAACTTACTCAAATAAATGTGGTGATTCTTGATGACTTGTTTTTAATTTCAATCTTCAATCTTGACCCTTACATTTGTACTTCATTCCTGCCAAGGTGGTCATAGACCTGCTTTGGGGAAAGGACAGAGCCAAAGTAAAAATTGAATACTACTTTTTTTTCTTTGTCTTCTGTTACTGATTTCTTATTGATTTCCATCTATTTTCTCTGTGAACATAGCTGAAAAAAGCTTGTTTGCACTTTTTAGTGTGCCTTGCTAGCCATAGCTCATTCCCAGCTTTGCCTTTCCTGATCTCATTTCTGCACTTCTGTGTAACCTGTCTGTACTTTTCTTTTGTCACCTGGCTTTCTTCCCTTTCCTATACATGTCATTTTTTTGTTTTTAGGTCAACTCAGAGTTTTTTTCTGGAACCACATTGGTTTCTTCTGTTTTCAGTTATATTTTGTTTTTGTTGAAATTATTTATAATTGTGCCTTCTGCTCTTTTTGAACAAGTTATATCCTTCAGTTGCTATATTTCAGTCATGGGAGTTATCCCACCAAGTTTCAGTAATACCTATTAAATCATATTTCCCATTTGTATTAACAGTCCGAGTTCATCCTGTTCGTTTCCCATACTGCATAGGCATTGAAACCCATGTGCTCTGTGGTGTGGCTTCTTTCCTACATTGTTGAAAGGACTATTTGTGGCAGGAGTAGAGCTCTTCTCTTGTCATGCTGCATAAGCCTTCATTAAAGCCCTTCTGATGAATTTTTCTTGCTGTGGCCAACATATTCTTTCCAGCTCTGGTGAGATAAAATCCTTCCCTTGCCAGCAGTCTGTCATCCAAATACTGTAGTCTGTGGTTCCCAGAATCAAAATCTCACATGTCAGCACCACCTTCACAGCTCACTTGGAGTATTTTCCTTTCCCTTTCTGTGCCTCTTATAAGAACTGGGAGGATAAAAGAGAAGACTGTCTGGGCCTCAAAGTTATTGAGTTTCCTTCCCACAGCTTCAAAATCTGATAAGATTTCTTTGTAGCCCTGTTTGGTAGTATCCTTTGTCCCCATGTGGCTTAGAAGAAAATGATAAGTGTCTGTGGGCTTTATGAGTTCTGGCAATCTTTCAGACATCTCTAATCCAAGCTTCAGGAAGACAGTATAACTGATGAATCCATGGGTCATCACAACACAGCTGAGTTTCAGTTCCATGCAACAAGGAAACTCCCACAATGAGTACTCTTTTTTTCTTGGTCAACTGTCTTTCTGCATCATACTCACTGTTGCACATGTTATTTTGTAATTCTTCCTATGTAGGCTGTCCTCTAATCTCATCTGCCAGTATCTGAAAGTGGTTAGTTAGTTCTAGTGGTTCCACTGGAGCAGAGTGTCTTCAGGTTCTTCTTCTCCTGTTACTCTTCTCTAGGGAGTTTCCTCTTCATTGAGTTTCCTCAAATCAGCAATTTTCATATTTGCTTCAAGCTGCTGTTGCATTTCCATCTCTGGTGGCTCTTGTTCTTGAAGTTCCACTGTTCTGTCCAATAACTTTTCACTTTCTCTTATTCCGTGGAGGGTAGATACCCATTGCTCAAGTACTCTCACCTTCTGATATTTCAGCCCACTAACATTTATTGCAGGTATATGCCCTGTAATCTCAGGGAGGAAACAAACATTGCACACCCTTGTTGTTGTTGTTAGTCGTGAAGTCGTGTCCAACCCATTGCGACCCCATGGACAACATTCCTCCAGGCCTTCCTGTCCTCCACCATCCCCCATAGTACACTTAAGCTCACATCGACTGCTTCATTGACTCCATCCAGCCACCTCATCCTCTGCCGTCCCCTTCTTCTTTTGCCCTCAATTGTTTCCAGCATTAGGCTCTTCTCCATTGAGTCCTTCCTTCTCATTAGGTGGCCAAAGTATTTGAGTTTCATCTTCAGTATCTGACCTTCTAAAGAGCAGTCAGGGTTGATCTCCTCTAGGACTGACCGGTTTGATTGCCTTGCAGTCCAAGGGAATCGCAGGAGTCTTCTCCAGCACCACAATTCAAAGGCCTCAATTCTTTGGTGCTCAGCCTTCCTTATGGTCCAGCTTTCACAGCCATAGATTGCAACTGGAAAACCATAGCCTTGACTATATGCACTTTTGTTGGCAGCACACCCTTTGTAGGTCACTACAACTGGAGAATCCTGTTGATCTATTATGTAAGAAGAAGCAGATTTATTGATTTTTGCAAGACTTTAGGTGTGTGGGCCACTTTCTTGAGCTGGTTTGTTGAAGTCTGACTTCTGTGCTGCTTGTGGTGACCTCGTCTCCTCTTCCCATAATCTCTCTGGTGCATGCAGATTCTCTCTGCTGCTATTTCTGTTGAAAGAAAAGGGTACGTTACAATTTTTTGTTTGCAGGTCCAACTTAAATTTTTTGTTTTGTAGGTTGAAGAATTGAATAAGAAAATCAATGATGGTGAAAGAAGTGAGAAGACAACATCCAGCATAGAAATACAAACTGAAAACTGTGCTGCATGGCTGCACACAGGTAGCAAATGATGCAACTTCAACGATAATTAAAATAGTATAACAGATCTGTGCACTACATTCATCTCATTGCCTTGTCCCTGTGGGATGGTCGGGGCATCGTCATCTTCCCCAAGTTCCAAGCTGGGTGCTCTCCGGATCCTGCAGTACTGCTCTGTTGTACAATAAGAGCGTTGCAAATTTAACGCTGAGTGACAATTTTAGCTAGTTTCCTAGCCACCACAACAAAGCAGGAAATACCCAATGGGATGCGATTTTATTTAACAAGTAGCAATCCCCTGACACATTCATAGAATCATAGAACAGAAGAGTTGGAAGGGGCCATAAAGGCCATTGAGTCCAACCCCCTGCTGTTGCAGGACATCATGTTACACAATTTTTGTATGTGTATCAAAATTCTTCCTGAGCTTAAAACTCAGACAGGCATGTTTCATGTGGAGCTTTATTAAAGGGGACTTCCACGTGAAAAGGAATAATGTAAATGTAATGTGGTACACAGGCAATAGAAGAGCAAGATATGCATTTTTACAGAACATTATTTTATAAGTAGCGTTGCTAATGTGTTTATAACTTCTTACAGATTATTATTATAATTATTACAACAGTTCTGATCCTCATGATTTACTCAGATCACCAATACAGCCATGTAATCATAGTGAAAGATCAGATCCTAATTGTGTAGACCAGTTACAATTAGGTGATCATCCAGATGTTAATGGTGCAAAACATGATGAGCCGGAGGATCAGGATGATGTAATTCATGATATGCAGGTAAGCTGCATTTTGTTTATGAAACTGATATCTTGTCCCTCCTCCAAGGAGTTGGTGATGGTGTGCATGATTGTGCCATTTTATTCTCATGACAGTCCTGGTGCAAGTGAGTTTAATGGCCAAGTGAGTATTCTTGGACCCAAGCACCCTTTGTCCGAGACAAATTCTCTGTACAGTACACTGGAGTGCCTTTTGATAGTTTCTCTGTTTTTATAGTTGTTATTATTTATTTCATTTCTATACTGCCTCACAGCCAAAGTTTTCTGGGTGGTTTACAACAGCCTGATCATGCTGCTTTAGATAACAATGGAATATTAAGTGAGATAAGAGACAGAGCTATCCAGCTAGCCTTTGCCCACTTGTGTTTCAATTTGTTTTTCAGCTGTATTGCTCCACCACTGGAGGACAAGGTTGTTCCCTGCCTCCAAAAGCCTCTTAACACCATTTAGCAGCTCCCCACTGCATTGATGACTGCCCCTATCCCTATGTTTCAATTATATATTGTATATCTGAAGGGTTCAGTATTAAGAATTGTATTCAAAGTATACTTTTTCTGCTATGTAAGTTGATCTTTGCTTAAATACATAGTGTTCTTGGTATGAGCACCAGTTTTATTAATCTGATTCCATAACATTTTCATGCAGAATTAGTTTTTTTTTAAAAGGGAAATGGGATGGGATTCAAATTTTAAATTCAAATCAAATTAGTGTAATCATTTATAATGTGAAAAAGGGAGCTTCCCAATTTCTATCTGGCAATGGATGAGTTTGCGCAGCACTAACGACCTGTGCAAAGGCAACAATTCCCTACTGAGTGAGGCCCTAGTTTCTCTGCCCATTGGAAGATAATGATTAGGTCTGCACAGTTGGGAAGAGAAAATAAGCCATCACAGGGAAGGAAAATAAGCCATCACAGGGAAGGAAAATAAGCCGCTAGTCATACCACCAAATTGCCATATTATCCTTATTGAGTATGATTCATTGTGCAATCTGAATCCTATAAGGGTGGGAAATAAAAGCTGTTTACAAAGCACCTCACAAATGTAGAACAAGCCATGGATTCCATTTGATTTATAACCCAGTTGCCCCTAACCTTGCTGGGTTTGGACAGCATGATAAACTATCATGATAGGGGTAGGTATGGTAATTTGGCAGTTTACCACCAACACTTGGTAACTTATTTTTCTTCCTCTATCATGTAAACCAGTTCATTAACTTCCAGTGAGCAAAGCCTTGTGCCTGGAATTGGGTGTTAAGTAAGGGAAGGAATCATTGCCTTGAACAGATCACTATCCTGTGCTGCTATTCCACATCTATAGTATGAGATAGCTGTGTAATGATTATAATGACTATGAATTAAAAAAGCAAAATATATTGTGCACTTCAAAGTGCTACATAAATATCATTATTTGTGTCTCTTTGTCTTAGAAACCTGAAGATCTTTTATTAACAGAAGAAGGTACATTAGCAGAAAGTTTGAGAGCTGCTGCAGAGGCTGCTGTATCACAAACAGGATTTATATATGATGAAAACACCGGATTATATTTTGACCATAGTACTGGATTCTATTATAATTCGGTAAATATTTACATGATATTTTATCACATAAAATAAATACATATTTATCAGCTAACATAAGCTACTAATAGGAATTGTTAATATCATATCTGCTGAGAAATACAGAGAAACACAGAAACAGAGCAAGTCAGAAGGGGTCTCCCGGGCCATCTAGTCTAATCCCCGGCTCCATAAAGAAATACTTTCTGATTTAACTGTGAATATTTCTTCCCTTAAAGTAATGGATAATATTCATATTAATACTGTATCTAGCCAGTATAGTCTGCTGATTGAAGAATGTTTAGTTCAGTTTGCTTCCATCAGCAAAATAGAGGAGGAAGTGGTTTTTTTGGTGATTCCTGCTTCATCCTGCTAACTGCCTTCATTTGCTGTGGAGGGTTGAGGAACTTTGGAACAGCAGGGAAGGTGACAGAATGGACTGCAGCGGGAGAAGGAATTGCTGCAAATTGCCTCCATCCTGCTGATGAATCTTAGGTACCATATTTTGCTGCAAGGCACTTACAGTTTTAAAGTACTCACTGCACTTGAATCCCAAAGTCTGATTGACTAAAACATACTTCAGTTTTAGCAGAATTTGCCCAGATCTATTTTGTTTGCTTTTATTCATACTTTTCTACTTCTTTGCTAAACATTCTTTGTATTCATGCAGAAGAAAAAGCATATATATGCATATTTTATTTTAGCAATCTCTTGATTGCTTGGGATATCTGATCTTTTAAACAGTACAGATATAGATACTCGTACATACGTGCATTTGCTTATGTATGTGAAATATATAATATATGATAAACTCTCAGCTGGTATATGGAAGACTTTATGGTTTTTATTAATTTCTTTCTTCCTTTCTTCTTGGTAACTTTCTATTTCCTTTTCTAAACATTGACATACTTTCACTTTTGATCTTTGCATTTTATTGAAGAGCCTGTTTATGTAGTTTTAACAGATGTGCTGTATTCATCTTGTTAAAGGAAAACCAATTGTATTATGATCCATCTACTGGATTTTATTATTATTGTGATATTGAGAGTGGTCGATATCAGTTCCATTCACGAGTGGATCTGCAGGCTTATGGAACTGGAACTACTCAGCAATGCAAAGAAAGAAAAGGAAAGAAGAGAAGAAAAGAAGTAGACTTGCCTAAGGCAAATGAACATAAGGTATCATCTCAACAACTGATTTTAATACATTAAAATGTGGCCTGTGGTACACTTACATGAAAATGAGAACCTTTCTGATAACTGGTAAGAATAAACTGTTTAGAAGTTTACATTTTTCCTTTTTTTCCTAGGACAGTCTAAAAGGGATATAGATATGACATAGGTGTAGATGTTCCTGTCCAAACAGAACTCTTCAGCCCCTTTCAAATCCCACCTGAAAAATGGAAATTTTAATTGGAATAGATCAGGCAGCCTATCAGAGGGCATTTATTCCTGTCAATGGGGATTCCCCTCCCCATGTAAGCAGTTCCTCAAGTGCTAGCACTTGCAAAACTTAGGGGATCCTTCATTCGTGAATCTCCTCCAGAAAAGCTGAAGATCATACTGGAAAGTGGGGTGAAGTAGAGGAGATGAACTACAGTCATCCTTTTCTGCAGGATTATAAGTAGCTTGGGTGGGGGTATGTGTTCATGGATTATCCTTCCTTGCAAAAATGAGCAAAGGTCATGCACACAGAAACACTGAAATAAGCACTCACCAAAATGAGTGGATAAGCGCTGCCTTTGGAAGTCAAACCTAACTGAACAGCAAGACTCTTATTGAATGAACTGCTGCCTATTTGCTTGTGGTACCTCAGCCTGTAAGAGGTGTTCAGCTCTAAGGATAGCTGACTATTAAAACAAAGATTGGTTACAAAATCGCAAGACAGTTTATGGATCCCCAAATATAGAAAGGCTGTTCTAAAGTTTCAGTGCAATATTTATTGCTCACAAAGGAGATGCATCATTAAATATTGAATAAACTGTGCTGAAACACTTTTCCAAGTGCCTTCCTTATTGGTAGTGTGCTATGAAACAGCAAAAGAAAAAGCTTTTCAGTTGTGCTTCACTTATGGAATATCATCTCTAAAGATGTGTGTCTGCTGCCTACATTAAATTCTATTTGGTGCCAAATTAGGACATTTTCCCATGTTATGGATTTATTGTAGATTTAGAGTATTATAGCTGTTCACCCCTTTGGAATCTATTAGAAAAAAAGGCAATATGCAAATGTTTTAAATCAGTATTGAGTAATAGGCTATGTTTTGCTCATCCCTTCTGGATATCCCTGATAAGGCTCATTCTTCAAGCTGAAGAGTAGGAAAGTAGTACTAGTGTTAATGCTAATACTGATATATTACTCAATTAAAGTTCTGTGCAGAAATAAGTTTAATCCACAGGTGCCCTTCTGCATGGGAAAGGGACATTCAGCTCATGAGAGGGCTATTTTTGATCTTGTTCTAGAGCCTTGTGTGAGAAAAATGAAACTATAGGTAGCATCCAAGTATAACATTCCATGGTCTCAAATACCACTAATGGAGTTCTTTCAAGTGGCAGCAAAACTTGCTATAGACTTTAGCTGTAATAGCACTGTACAAGCTCTTCTCTAGTACTTTCAACAAGCTTTTAAGTAACAGCAGTTGTGGCTATTTTTTCACTGCATGGGTTTTTGGTTCAATTACTATTCTTCATATAAGAACCTGGGTGGATAAAGAGTGTAAGAAGGACCTCTGAAGTTCACAAATATTAATAACTGGATTCTGTAGTGCTTGCCTGTCTTGGCAAGTCAGTGTAATTAGGGTTTGGTTTTAATAATGATAACAATAATGATAATCATGCCATACAATAAATAGTGCAAATGATAAAACACACAAAACTTTGTCTATAAAAAGTGGTTTACATTACACCTGGCTGTTTTAAGTAAGATTTCAACAGTGTATATAAAAATGAACAGGTACTAGTTATTTTTCTGTTATTTACTGAATGCTGCATTTCATTTTTTTGAGTGTAAAGAAGAAAAAATTAATCAGTGTTGATAGCAGTTTTTCCATAACTGCTTCCAGACAATTAGCTGCATTTATTTATTACAATGGAAGAACAGTCTGTACCACTTTGTCTTTCAGACTGCATGTAGATGAGATTTTCAAGGACATGATGGCAACATTGAAGCCATTATTGCTTGTTGTAATAAGATGCTTGTTTGTTGGGCAGGGCATGGGCGGTTAGTCTGTTGAGGTCTCTGGTCAAGTTTGTGGGTTTAAAAAGGCTTGAAGGAAAAGTACAAATGTTTCCCTTAGGGAATCCAGACTAGTCAGTTTTACAAGTTTGACTTCAATGGAACTAAGGAAAGATGCTTCCTTCTTTTCTTCTCCAAATGCTATCAAACTTCCAATGCTGGATTAGGATTAGTTTCATCAAGGAATTACCCTAAGGATGTGGGGAGGCATTGGTTAACAGAAACCAGTATCTATTCACAGCTTTATCCTCACTTTTCAAAGCTGTGTTTCTTCTACAGCATCTCTAGCCAGAGTATAAAAACAAATCCATATTGTGTATCCAGTTAATATTGCAGATTGTCCAATAGAATGTTGTGAGTTTCTGATAGGTCTAGATAAAAAAAAGCCCACAACAGCCAATAATGCTCTTAGTCCCATGACCAGGCCAGATACCAGATTAGAATGGATGATCCAAATTAGCATCCTCCAAGAATGGCTGAATTTGTGATGCAACTGCACATCCATCACCTGACTCAGGAAGTGCAGAATGGATAATACTTTAGAGGGGTCATCCTTATTCACTGATTGCTGAAGTAAAGAACAAATGACAGCTACTTTAGACAGAGCCAAATACTGTATTACCTTCCTGAAAGGATGTGTTTATTATCCCTTCAGTAAAAAGGATTGTACTGCCCAAGATTCTTTTTAAAAGTCATGCTGGGCAGTTGAACTTACTCAGTGTAAAATCATGAGCTATCAGAATCTGAACATTAGCCAATTAGTGATCTGTCTGTCATGAAGGTCCTGAAGAGCTATTCTCCACTACAACTCCAGTATCAACCTACATATAGACAGAACAGATAAATATGTGACCCTCTGTGTGTTGACTCATCAGTATATATGGTAGTCAAGAATTCTTGGGCCTTCTCAGTTGAGTTGTTTGAATCCTGTCAGTCTTATAGTTGTTTGAAATAGTTTATGAATCCAGTGCTGTAAATGAAGAGTTTAGTTGTAATAACGCAGACAATGATTTACTCTTCTGAAACCTGTCTAGCAAATGGAGAGATCCAGTCTTTACGGTCTTGGTTTCTTCTTTGATGTTATACAAAGAATCTGCTTCATTGTTTTTATTGCTTTAGGGAAGGATCAATAGTGTCTGTGGCTGCTGGTGTGCTGAGAAAGGGACTTCTGAATAGGTACCAAATCTGGTTCAATGACACTCTTGTGGCTTTGAGTTGGAGTTAAGACAAGACTTAGTGTCTTGGCTGCAGAGATAATCATGTTTCAGTGGCCATGCTGCATTTATGTTTATGAAAGAAAGGGAAATGGTAACATTTGGGTTTTGGGTTTTATTTACAGAAGTCTGTATAATTTGGAAACAATTTAGTCATGAAGCAAGGTGCTTCCATTGTATCCTTGACATAGACTTCATGTTTACATTGCATCATTTATTTACTGTTTACTGCTGTTCATCTTTAGGTATATTAGTTGACAGAAACATGGCAATCATATCTTCTGGATTGGCAATTTCAGGTGAAAGAAGAGTTGTGACACCGAACACATGGTGTCTATGGATACTTACAGTTGTTTGCATCAAGATAAAATTGAGGATAAATCTTAATTATGAATTTGATATAATTGATTGGGAATTGTTTCAGTGTGCCATAGGTTTAGCTATAGCAAATCTCACTTTTAAAAGGAACTCTGAACTTAATCCAAACAGTGAGTCTCTTATGAAAGACTGTTTTTCTTTATAAAAAGAGACATTTTCCATCATAAGACAGCATAGTTGTTCGTGTATTTATATAATGGGTGCCATCCTCTTATTCTCTGATTTTATACCTAATTACATGACTTTTGCAGTGTATTTGGTTATAGCGTTTTTTTACTGCCAACTTAAGTGCATGGACAGTCACTTTCTGACTCATATACTGCATTTGGTTCAATTTGTTCAAGTAAAGGTGCCTAGGATTGAAACTACTTGTCAGGTGTCTTGCTTTTCCATGAGTAGAAATAATTCTACAAAATAAAGGCATGTGTCACACGGCCAGTGGTCCTAAATTATTATTTTAGGCAAAAAGCAATTGCAATAATTGCAAACCAAGATGTTCTAATGGCTAGACTGAGCAACCACTTAGAATGTATGATAGCTTCAGAAATATATAAATTTCAAATGGATAAACTTTGTTAGACCAATGATTTTAAATTTATCTTTTTTTTCTTGATGACCTACATGGTTTAAATAACATTGTGGGGACACTGCTTCTGTTTGTCACACAGGCAACTCTAACACTTTTCCAGGTGATGTAAATGCTCCTGTTTCTCTCTGTATCCACTGTTTCTAAATAGGATGGAATGCAACAGTGATTGTGCCAGCTCTTTGTCACTATATGCTTTTGCTGTAATTAAAAATGACTATATTAATTGTAGTGAAAATAGTGCAAAAGAAAGGCCACAGGAGCAAAAATAAAATAGGAGGAGGCTAGAAGGCACTTCAAGTATTGTGTCATATCTACTTTCCCATGAGGGGAAGACATGTGGCAAACTATATTGGAAAGCAAAAAGCTGTACAGATCTATTACTGAGAAAGACTTTGATAGGTTTTCACAACAGTTTTCCCCCCACCCCGCAAGTACAATTGTAAATAATGCTAACTCAGCAGATCCTGCATTTTCCAGGTCGGTGAATCCAGAAAGCTTCCTGCATGATTATGTATTTTTTCAACAAAATATGAGTCTTCTGTTTTTATTTATGATTTTATTTTATTTTATTTCCATTTCCATGCTGCTCCTTAACCCAAAGGTTCTCTGGGCAGCTTACAAATGCTAAAACAGTATAAAATACATAGGATACAATTAAACAATAATCATATAACTAATGATTTTTATTTCAAATATATGGTGAAAAGGGAATATCTATAATTGTTTAAAAAGTGTTGTTTCATGTGGAATTTCTTAATTTCTTATACCTTGTAACTTGAAAAGGTGCTGTGGGTTTGATTTTCTTCATATACAAAGCCCAAAGGGCCCTCCCCTTTTATTTTGGGACAAATTATTGTGTGCTGTAGGACATGTTATTGAACTATGCTTGTTTCCTTTTAATCCACTGAAGATTAAATACTACAGATTAAAGATTAAATACTACAGATAGACCTTTTCGGTATGAATATGAGGAGTACTTTTAACAAAAGTATTACAGTTTTCTATGCTAATTAGAGAACATTTTATTTAATGATGTTGATTGGGTTTCTTGAATGACATGGCGAGAGATAGTGAATACATTGCATTTCAGTATGAAAAGGAAAACCAAAATGGATGTTTATTCCTAATTAGGGTTTCTTATGGAAGAGAAATGTTAACTGGTATTTCTCACATGCTTGGGATAAATGGTAAGAACATGTAAGTTATTAAAGTTGCATAGGTTTAGTGATGTTGATACTTTCAGCAAACATTAGCAAACTGAGTGGGGAAAAATTCAGAAATGTATAAGTAGTTAGCCTTAAATGCTCGTTATTGTATTATCCTGGGCATGTGGATTGCTGTCCACGTAAGATGGCTTTTGTTGTCAGCATGAGTTGCCTTGGGTATTCACACTTGTAGAAATGTAATGCTTTGCTAATTGTCTTTACAGTTCTGCTCCAGTGTGCAGCAATGAATGTCAGTTCTACACAGTGCATCATTTGAACTGTGAAGGAACACTATGTTTTTACTAATGGGACTTGTGTACAAAAAAGAGTGTCTAAGATATGGGTATTAGTATCCAGTGCTGTATAATTTTTTTCCCTTCCGTGATGCATGTTCACATACTACAGCTTCATTTCAGAATAGGAAAAATAGTACATATACACCGCTATTATCTGTGTATGTGTGCTAAGTACCCCTATTGTAAACATTTATACTATAGTGCCAGGATGACTGGCGTTGAGCTAGATCAGAAGTTACTGAGCTTCATGTGCAGAGCTGCGTGACTGTTTTGCAGGTCAGGAATCCGTAAAGCAAGGCTATGTGAAAGGAGCAAGTGATCCATGCATACAATTCCTCCCCTGAAGAGGAGTTGCTGACCTGTATAGTTTATGAACATTATTTGAAAGGATGAAGAAAAACTTTATCATATGCTGAGAAGGGAGTTCAGATGATAGATTCAAGTGTGCAGAACAGAGATCAAGAATTAATGGAATCATGGCTGGCAGATCAGTTCTCCCTCCCAAACAAATCTGGCCCAAGGAAGCTCACTAGCGAACGGTAGATGGAGCACCTGCTCTGCCTGCCTTCTGTCTGGCTAACTAGTCCTGCTGTAGCTCCAGGTAGAGATACGATTTCTTCTAGGAGAGGAATATTTTGTCTCCCATATGCTTCCTAACACAATCTGGAAATGATGTTTGGTACGTCTGCTGGCCAGTGCGATAGCCTGGCCCCTTAAATGTTAAGGCAGGAACATAGCAATTGCAACTGTGGCAGGGGCAAAGAGGGGGAAAAAAGATAAAAATGTCTGCACGTGTAAAATGGAAAGTCTCCCTTGCTTAAAAAAAAAACCAGAGCAGAACCTCTGTAAGTCAGTGAAGGGGTTTGAAGATTGATGGTAAATTGATTCTATATCCAAGCACTGAAATGGACCTTTAGCCATAATATTTTAAAATGGTTTATATAAATGATCAGATACCAACTGATTCTACTCAAAATATATTTAAATTTATACTAGCTTGCTTTCAGTTTTGTATTTAGTGGCTTTAAAAAGCCCAGTCATTCAAAAGACTTGTTAATGTTCTTTAAGTTTGATTTTCTATAATCTTCAGGATTTGAACACAGATGAGCAAAAATCATCTTGCAATCTCAGTTGCCTTTCTACTACTCATGAACTAAGTTCTCCAGAAGAGGAAGAATCACCAAATGTGAAAAAGGCTAAAGTGGACATTGAAACAAAAAATAACCTAACAGCCAAAGAATTGGTTACTGCAAATGGCACCAGTTTAAATCTTAACAAAGACACACAATATACTGCTCTTATAGATGACAGTAAAACAGAGACAGAGAGTGAGCCTGAAGAAGGAGAAATTACAGATTCTGAACAGGAGAACTATAGCAGTGAAGATGAAGTAACAAGTGAAGAAAATTCATATTCAGAAGATGTTGACAGTGAAGGTGAACTATGAATTTTTACAAAGTATTCTTAAATATTAGCATTTTGTAAACTAGCAAAATAGGATGATGACAAAAATTGAACTCTACAATATAGGTGTGGCTTAAGTGAAATGGTAAAAATTGCTCAATATGTTGTCTCTTCGAATAGCCTTCCACATTTACATCTAAATATGGATTTTATTATTATTGGTTATCTGTGAAGATACAGTTTATGATGTACTTTGTATGTATTTGTTTAGAGAATAACTCTCCTAGAAATGTTTGTATAGTTAGAAGGAAGCTAATGTATGTTAAAATGAACTTTGAAGTTCTTTGTTCTTCAGATATGGATCTATTTTTTTCTTATGCACAATGCATATAAAAATCCATATCTACATAAGTAGTTAGTTAGGACAGAGTCTAGTTGGTATTGCTTCTGAAATAGTATTTTTAAAAAATCAATATTTTACTTTCACAGTTTTCTTTTGATGAACTTGTGAATAGATTCCCTCCAGTCCAGGATGTTTCAAAGAGTGTAAATGATGTAGTTTATCCTATATTGCATACTTCTCATTTATTTATTCAAAACCTTTCTACCCCATCCACCACTGACATCTTGGGATGGCTTCCAATGTATATAGGAGGCTAGAACTCTTCCGTCTTTGATTTTACTTGGCAATCACTGAATATTGAACAAAACGCCTATCTAATCCAGCATTCTGTACCCACTGTAGTCAACCTTATCCCTATGGGAAGTCCACAAGTAGGGCATCTTTACTGGAGTAGCACTCTGCCACTTGTGTTTTCCAGCACCTGCTTTTGACAGGCATACTGGTTATGGGTTAACACAGGCATACTAGTGGTAGGTATAGGAAACCTCCTCATCTGCACTTATTTCCATGTCTTGAATCTGTAGTGGATGTCATACAGCTGGCTAGAAGTCTGGATCCTGAAAATGCTTCCATTGTATTCCTTGCAAAAGCTCTTTCCTAGGAGTGAGAGCTGTTTTCATTGACCTTTTCACCTACTCTGGCAATGGTGTACTACCTCTTTGGAAGTCTAGCATTAGCCATGTTTCTGTTCTCAGAAGTAGTGGGAGTTCTGTTGGTTAGCTTTGGTTGCTACTGGAAACAATTGTAACTCTACTGATATTATCTACTTAATTAATCCACAGTAACCAAGATACCTTTTGTATTGTACCCTACAATACAAAAGGGTTGTACCCTAGTGTCTTAATTGGCAAACTTTGGAAAAATGTTCTAGTCAATTTTTTTTCCTAGTGGATGCACTTGCATCATTCATTTTTTGCAGAGTTTTGAATAATTGGACCATTTGGTTTAACTGATATAATGGCAAACACTACTGGTAATCCAAAACTGATTATGGGAAAGGTTACCTTGCTTTGCCTGATTTTTTTCTCCCTTTATTTAGATGGTGACAAGATTTGGCCACCTTGTATTAGAGTGATTGTAATTAGATCACCTGTACTGCAGATGGGATCTTTGTATATCATCACAGCTGTCAAGCCTGCCACAATTGGAAGGTAACACAAAGTAGTATGCAAAGGCAATCCAGTCATTTCTGGTTTTGAGGGTTAAGTTCTTGCACCTAGTTTACTTATATTACTTCAGATATTTTCCTTTTATTTTCAGTTGCTGATAAGATCCCAAGTTCTAGTGAACCTGATACTTGTTTTTACTATAACAAATTCACTGATTTACATATGCTTTTATGATGACACTCTGGTTTTGATTCTGATTTCATATGCTCTCTGACTTCCAAGTAGTAGCATGTCAGGAATAGGGGCTAAAGGAAGTACAAGACAAGGTGAGGCAGAGTTTTCTGTAGAAGTCTGGTTAGGTGGCAAAGGCAAAATTCTGTGGATTGAATGCCGCTATCCAGCTGTGGCAGGACAGAACGAAACTTTCAATCTTCTGGGGTTGTTAGGATCTGTAGAAAAGGGATTGAAATTGAGTGGGGACAGATGTTACACTGAAAGGTGACCATCATAGAAGATCAAATGGAAACTCCTGCTCTGCTCACAGGTGTCTCTGCCCACATTTCTTGAATTTCCTTTTTTAGCTTGCCCACCCTGCCCCCTGCCATATCCCAGTCATCAGTCATACATGTGTGGGGAGGGCTCTGAGGTTAAGGAGGGAGTGCATGGGGCAAGTTATCTGGTTTCTGCCTAAAGCAGAAGTGCAGCATTCCAGTAGCTACTGAGATCTAATTTGACAGTTGGTACCTCACTTGCTGTAGAAGTCAGAAATCAGTTATCTACTGCCATCCAGCTCTCATTTTTTACAAAAACATATTGCCCCACTGGGTTTAAAGGATGGGAGAAATGTGGGTGTGGAACCTCTGGAAGTTATGTTCTTTTGTGCTGCTCTTCATTGTGTGCTGCTTGTGTGAATCTTCCTTAAAAAGTGACAAATCTTGTAGCATTATAACACTTGAGTTTTTAGCAACATTTTTATCTTCGTTTCTGTCTTTTGCTTTGTGTTTTTTGGCTTGTCTAGCATCCCTGAAACCTTAACGTCTTCTTGAATTGATATACTGACACAGAGGTTGATATTCCGCTTCGCCAATAACATAACTACTGCAACAGTTTTAGGCCATTTTTAATCTTTGTTTTACATTAGGGTCATATAAGATTATCTTGGATTATAGTCCTTTATCTTTTTCATTCATTCATAGACACATAGTCACTTACCTAGGAGTAAATGCCACTGATTTCAATGCCATTTTGAGCAAGATTTCAGAATCACTTGGGCAAAATCTCCTCTGAGCCTTGGCTTCTATTGATGGGCCCTGGTAGTGGCAGTAGCATCAGTGGCGGCAATGGCAGTGATAGTCTGAGACATTCCAAGTGCTGCTAGATGGCTGCCATTTTAATTTCCCACAATGTCCCTGACATAACTTCTCAAGAGTTTTGTGGCACATTATAATGGTGGCTAGATCTAGCTGCCCACATTCTTAAAAGCACCCCTAATGTCAGGAAAAAAATTAAAGAGAGACCCTGGTCAAGTATCAGCAATGATTCTTGGTCCTGGATGCCAGGTGCTGATACAACATGGCTTCTAAATCAGTATATATAGCACTCTACTGGTGTTTGCTTAGAGCAGTCTCTCACAATATGTCTCCTCTATTGTTGCCTCTCTTTGCAGAGAGAAAGGTATGGAACACACTCTACAGATCCCAGAGGTTGGCATTAGTAAGGTAATTAATAAGGAATTTTGATATAATCTAAGATTATTAACTGAGTACAGAAAGTAATTCTTGCGTTACAGCATTTAAAATTTATTGCAGTGTTGCTAAAATAAGCATGCTTTTAAAATTAAATGAATAAAATTCAATAAAAATTAAATTTTAAAACAATACAAAATAAATTGTAAGCATGGGAACAAAGACTATTTACCGCTTTTTGTAATCAGTTTGGGAGAGGGAGGTCTTTGGCTGAAGTGTAAAATCAAAATGTAAATAAATAATATTTTCTGTTAGTTTCATGCAGAAGTATATTTTGATCATGAATTGCAAAGTTACGTTCTTGTGGATCAAGGCAGTCAGAATGGGACCGTGGTTAATGGAAACCAGATTTTGCAGGTGAGCACAAGAAATAAAAGTGCTGTTGGCTGGTCTATCCTTTCCCATTATTGGAAATAGTCACCCCAATTTGGCCTTTTCTTTCTGCCCTTCTGGAACTTCTAGTGCTATATGACACTATAACCCTTGAGCTTTCTCTCTAGTGAATTAATTCAAAAACCTTTTATCAGTATTTATTTTCTAAATTCTACCATTTTCTTTTATTTTTCTGTAGCCTAAAACAAAAAGTGAGCCCCATGTTCTGGAACATGGTGATGAAGTGAAGATTGGGGAAACTGTATTATCCTTTCACATACACCCTGGTAGCGAAACCTGTGATGGATGTGAACCAGGGCAAGTTAGAGCCCATCTTGGTCTTGATAAGAAAAATGAGTCTTCTGGTAAGTGTTAATTTGTAAACATGCCATTGGTAATCCCTAGGAAAGGTAAGAGTAAAACATATTGAGAAATCATGCTGTATACCCATGATTAAGTTTGTTTAAAAAATTAATGATTAATTTAAAACAAATTAAGGAAGCAATGCTTGTGCATAAGAAAATCTCCCAAATCCCCATGCATTACTTTTATTAGAACCAATCAAATATGCTCAAAAGCTCTTTGTCAGAAAAGACATTACAAAAAGCAGATTGGGATAGTAGTACAACAGGAAGGGGGAAGACTTAATTTATTGGTTCAACATCAGGTCATAAAATCAAAAGAGAAAATGCAAAGTGATCTTGATAGATTGGAGCACTAGGCTGAAAACAACAGCATGGAATTTTACAGGGACAAACTCCTAGTTCCGCAGCCCCAAAAAAGAAACCAATTGCATAGTTATAAGATGCACTGGATCAACAATACAAGGCAGAGGGACCTTGGAATTGTTGTAGACCATAAACTGAATATGAGTCAACAGTGTGATGAGGCTGCAAAAAAGGCAAATGCTATTTTAGCAAACCCTAATAATAGAAGTGCAGGGGCTGCAGTGGTGCAGTGGTTTAAACTGCTGAGCTGGTTGATTGAAAGATCGACAGTTCGAATCCACAGACGGGGTGAACTCCCGTGCTTTGTCCCAGCTCCTGCTAACCTTGCAGTTCGAAAGCATATAAATGCAAGTGGATGAAAAGGTACCACTTCGGTGGGCAGGTAACAGCGTTCCACGCACCTCGGTGTTTAGTCATGCTGGCCACACGACCACGGAGACTGTCTGCGGACAAACGCTGGCTCCCTCGGCTAGGAAACAGAGATGAGCACTGCCCCCAAGAGTCAGTCATGACTGGACTTTAATGTCATGGGGAAACCTTTACCTTTTAATAATAGAAGTATCACTTCCAAATAATGCAAAGTAGTAGTTACTCTTTACTCAATACTGGTTAAGCATCATCTTGAGCCCTATGTCTAATTCTGAGAACCACAGTTTAAGAAAGATAGAGACAAACTGGGAAAGTTCCAGAAAAGTTCAACAAGGGTGACCTGGGTAGTGGAAACAAAGGCCTTTGAGAAGAGAGTGAAACAACTGGACATGTTTAGTGTCAACAAGAGAAGGCTCTTCAAGCATTTGAAAGGTTGGTACATAGAATGGGCTGAAGTTAGAGGAAGCCAGATTCCGACAGAACATTAGGAAAAGCTTCCTGACTGTTAGAGCAATACAGCAATGGAACCAATTATCCAGGGAGGATGTGGACTTTTCCACATGGGAGGTATGCAAGATACAGCTGGACAACTGGACAACTAACTGTTAGGAATGATTTAATTTGGAGTATCCTGCTTTGATCTGGGAGTTGGGCCTAATAGCCCTATTAGACCCTTCTAACTCTACTGTTCTATGGTTCTACGAGTCTTGGTCTGCACTGGAGGAAGAGGCAGACTTAAATAGATTAGATACTACTAGGTGTCTTTATGGTTTCAGGTTACACTAGAATGGTTGGGACAAACACATAATGGCTGATTGACATTTTGAAAATAATAAAGTTTAGTAGTTAATTGAATTTACTTAGGAATGTCTAACATTTTAAAAGAGCTGAGAGAGACCAACATCCCCTTCTTCACTCACCCAAGTCTTAATTATGCTTGCCAAATTGGCTGCCTCATTCACTATTAAACCATGGATGAGGGAGGTCTTATTGTGCACCAGCGTGGCATTTAAAGGCAGCATCCAGAGACCTGAGGGCAGCCTAGCAGGGCAATCACCAAACTGTTGGTAGAGCATGGCACAGTTAGCTGCCTGGGTCATGTTTTCCCGTGTTCCCTTGATCCCAATAAGCAGTAATAAAATATGCAGTAATCATGTAAGAAGTCAGTTTTGTGAACTATGAAGACCAGCACAAGGACAGATCTATATATAGTACAGAGCTCTTGTCATTGCCGATTCATGTGGTGAGCCAGTCAGGCTGTTCAATTTGCATGGTAGTGATTTGTTTCAGTGTATGCTGTATTACAAAGTAAAACAAGTTGTTCACCGTTACAGTAACACTATAAATGGTGTAAGGCAGGGGTCTCAAACTCGCGGCCTGCGGGCCAATTGCCGGGACGGGCAGGGCACAGGGGAGGGGCCCTGCAGCCTTCAAAGCGCCAGTGGCACCCAGGCCGGCCTCCGGATGAGCGGCCCACCACCACCGCGGTGGTGGAATACTTGGTGCGGCCCAGCCTCACCCAGACTCTACTTCCAGCGGCCCCCAGATAAGTTTAGTTTGAGACCCCTGGTGTAAGGCTTCTGTAGATGTATTTACTGTATTTATATTCTGCCCTTGCTCAGAGTAGCTTAACACAGCATTTTAGTCTTGCAGCAACACTGAAGTAAATACTCCTTAGTATGCTTCCACAGTGAAATGAAGATTCTGCTTCCCAGATCCAAGCTTGGCCCTCACTGTTATATTGTGTATCATGCATATAGGTAAACACTAGTAGGCAAAAGGGTGTCTTCCAGGTGTATTACAACTCCCATAATTTCTGCCCTGCTGGCTAGCACTGTAGTCAAAAATAACTGCCTGGCCCTGCTTTAGCAAAACATGATTTGATGCAGTTTTTCTTTAACTTCTACAGATGGATATCTACCAGCTTGCTTTAATGAAATTATATTTTACTTTCATTCAGTTTGCCCTGCACTGACAAAAGAAGAGAAGGAGTTAGTTAGAAGAAAAGCATTAAAACAAATACGTGTAAAATATGGCTTACAGGTGGGTACCTTTTTTTAATGGTTAACTGACAAATGATTGGATTGAGGGCTTATACTTTTTTAATCTTTGTATTGTATTCTGTACTCTGCAGTTTGAAGGTTTCAAGTGTTTGTAGAATGTGACTGAAACTTCTTATCAAGCTTAAAAGGGTGATTCCACTGGGTCTGTGCATTCAAAGCAATCTTGTAGCAGTTATATCAGTGACAATTCATTGTCAGAGATGGCAGTCCAATCCTTAAGACTGTAGACAAGGGCTTGGACGCTATCTGTGCCACTACTGCTTTTCAAAGCATTACTTCATGTGAACAACTTGGGTTAAAGTTAAGCACATAAGAGCAACCCTGCTGAATTCATGAAAAAATCAAGCCCAGCATCCTACTTGCCACCATGGCTAACCAGCAGCAAGGGCATGAAGGCAATAGCCTCTAGGGGTTTCTTAAACAATCAGTAGATATATTCTTACTAATTTGTCTATTCATCTTTTGCATTTTTCTAAACTAGTGATCAGTTTTTCATTATGCATTGTGTGAAGCATTTTCTTCTGTCCTGAATCAACTTGTCAGAATTACTGGAAGATGCCCTAGTTTTAGTGTTAATTTAGGAAGAAATACTTTTCTCCACTTCTTTGATACCATACATATATTATAAACATCTGTCAGGCTTTAAGTGTGTCTGTTATACCTAAAAAAGTGTTGTTGAAGGTCATCCTTGAAAAGAAAAATGGTTTAAAAACATGATTGTGTTTTGAAAAGAACACAGAGTATGAAAATGATCGAATCATGAAAAATCCAAATTACAAAGACCGAGCAGGAAAGCGCCGTGAGACAGTTGGAAGTGAAGGGAACTTTCACAGAGATGATGCCCCAGCCTCTGTGCACATGTAAGTGTGTTGGTATTCTGTAATCTTTATGTATCATTTCAACTTAAAGTTGTTATCCTTGTACATATACATTGCATAGTCATGCATACAGCCAGTTTTCTAAACCACAAAACTTGCTTAATTTGCAAATATTCCAACACAGGAAAAACATGTTCAGGAATATAAAATATGAATATACAGCCTTCACTGAGTAACACTGAATGAGCAATATAAACTCTTTTTAAAGCCCCAAACTAAAACTTGGTATCTATCAGGTTTCCAGATTAATCCTGAGTTGTTATTTACCAGAAAGAACTTAACCAATTCATGAAAAGTTTGTGGTTAAATTCTAGTTCTAGATATGTTGCATCTCAATAATGCACACAACTTTGTCCCCCCATGCTGCCCCTTAGTTGCAGTCCTATTGAAGCATGCTACTGTCACTCTTTGTTAAGTATGAAAAACTGTGCCAAAATAGCTTTTCTGGAGATGACCAAAGACATATTGATGACAATTCAGGATTACTTATGCCCAATACAGGATTTGTGTCACCTTGTAGCCTTGTGCAATAGTGTTATGCAGTAGTTGGCTATGTTGGTTTTTGTCAGTAGGGCAGTACCAATATCCAATAGCACAGCAAGCTTGCTAATGATCCCAGCATACCACTTCCAGTCATGAAGTTGTACTATTTTAAAAATTGTTGTTAGTTTCTATTGTAGCTCATTACAGTATTTAATTGCAGCTGTTCAGTTACTGATGTTTTCTTGGCATACAGATTTTGAAAAAGAGTATCAAAAGAATAAAATCACAATGTGATAAAACCACCAGTGCAGCAGAGTGAAAGGCACTAAAAGGTCTTAAGATTAAAATGCCTGGGGGAAATCATCAGAGTGGATTCTGGGCAAGCCTCTCTAAGAGGGAATTTCCTTGAAAAGTCCATCTCTTCAATAGCTTTCTGTTGTACCTCATTTGCTAGGGTGAACCATTGAAGGGAGTTACAGAATCAGGATGCCATCACTGTAAAGGCCCTATCTCATATTCTAGGGCAGTTGTACTTCTCTTCACAATGGGAATATGGAGCATGGCCACTAAAGATGAATATAACTGATGGGCAGCATCATTTGGTGCTTCAAATATTCTAATTCCAGACCTTTTAGGTAATAACTAGTACCTTGAATTGGGCCTAATAATAAACTAGAAGGAAGTGAGCAAATTAAACAGGTTTGTTATTTCCCCATGAACAGCTGCTGGTATTTTCTGCATAAAGCATAGTTGTATATGAGTCACAACTTTTTTCAAGACAAGGGTAGAAAAATATAATGTGCATATTCATTTACTTAGGTTTGTAGGAGAAAGAAAATGAAAACATATACTGCTCTTTTCCTCTGTATTATGTTTTTCTGTGTGTTTTTTAAAGTGAAATTAGTGATAGCAACAGAGGTCATAAAATGCTGGAGAAGATGGGATGGAAGAAAGGAGAAGGGCTTGGAAAGAGTGGTGGTGGAATAAAAGATCCGGTAGGTCTATCTGAATTTATACATTCCACAGAAATTATGGCTTCAATACTTTACTGACCTATTTGAGTATAAGCCCATTGAAATAAACTTACTATGAGGTAGACATTTATAGGATCATGCTTTTGTATTTACAATACATGGACTGCAAACCTATGCACACTTACTTGGGAGCAAGGGCATTTAACCTAATAGGACTTATAAAAACACATGCATACTCTTTATACACTAAATGATTTGTGATACTCTTTAAAAAGACTCAAAACAGAAAGAAAATTCTGTTTTACTGGATATAGAAGACTCGATTAATGAAGTTGCTTATTTAACAATGGATATGTTGTAGGAATACAAATGGTCAATGGCCATTGCAGACTTAAATGCTAATCCATTGTTCAGCACTTCATGGATGAGCCTTGGGTTTCCATTATCTCCTCTCCTTGAACACACTGGTCTGCAAGTTCAAAACTAAGCTTAATTCAAATCAAAGGAAATACTGTTTAGGCTAAACAGTGCAGAATCATAAACAATGTTATCTTGTTGATTCATTATAGGAAGTGAAGTCTTCCAAACACCTTAAAACCATGCTGGAATGGAAATGGCAGCCTGCAGCTAGTTGCTGCAGATTCCCATAGTCCAAGCCATGGTTTAACATTTCCTACTTAACAGAGCAAACAAGTGTTAGGAAAGCAGTTCTGAGAGGAGCTAAGTGGCATTCAAGAGCTTAGATCAAAATAACCATAAGGAAAACTCAGGCATGACAAGAATAAGGCTTGAAAACTGGCATATTCTGCTTCTGTGTAAATGCAAAATTGCCCTTAAAATTTAAAGCACAAATGCCATGAAAAATCATAGTTGCAAGGATCCAGAATTATACTTAAAGGAATTGCTAAAGCAAACCATTACATTCAAACATACCTTTTTATTTTTACCATTTGCCAACAAGCCCAAAAAACATGGACTGCATAGTATAACATACTATTATAACTGAATAAGAAGGCCTTTGCTGGATAGAAGATTGATCTGAGAGTACAAAGTCTTGCATTGATTTGAAGCTGCAAGGATTCATTAAAAATTGGGGGAAACTTTCAAATGGTTAACAGCCATTCAGCAGTGGACTAAATCATTAAGGAAACCTGAGGCCCATTCATTAGACATCTGAAAAGAAAAATTGAACAGGCATCTCATGTATGGTACAAGTAGCTTGGGGTAGCGATTTGAACTGAAAGATTGATTGACTCTTTTACAGTTATGGTTCACCTGAGACATGCTTTTGAGATTTGAAGATGCTACATTAATACCATTCCTCTCTCTCATACATAATTATAAAAGGAAAGCTCATTGGCTGTTTTGATAAAACAAATTTTATTTTGACCATCGTATTTTTTAATAGTGTCAATTTTGGTTTCTTTACTACTGTTTGTTATGGGTGATAATTCTTGAAAATTTTTTATTCAGAATCATTTATTGCTCAGTAGCCAACCAGATCTCTTTTTTCATGTACATCAAACTAAGAATACAAAACTAGTACAGAGTGACAACATACAAGGAAATCAAGCGAAGTGTAATATGAAAAACTTTTAATGAATTATAAACCTGATTTATAAAGTAAAAATATTAAAATTAATTCAAATATCTTACTAACCTGTACTATCAGAATTTTATTGGCTAGATCAGTGGTTCCCAACCTTTTCTATGCCCTGCACCTCTAAAAAATCTTTGATTTATGTTTGCACCCCCTACAAAAGTAATATCACATTTGAAGATGAAGAAGTCAGATTTCTAATTTTTGAAACACTGATTGAATCACAAACAGTACTGTGAGAGAACAAAGATAACTCAAAGATAAGTTTTTAACTCAGTGCATAAAATTCAAATATAAATTGAGCAATTAAAAAAATTGTAAATAGTAAAATTGGACCAACTGTGAAAATAAAATTCATGGTGTTGTCAAAATGTTGCCGATTGCAATCCCCAAATCTGCCTGTGAATTCAGGCGATACCTACATTTTGTCTTGATTGACAAAACAGAACTGAGTCCAAATGCAAACAAAATAATAATAAATCATATTATTATTGGGATAATTTTTGTTGAAAAAGTTGGGATTCGCCAATTTGGCAAGTCACAGCCTTCCTCTTCATCACACTATCTAAATGCCATCTCACACCCTGTGGGGATGCAGGCCCTCCAGGTTGGGAACCCCTGGTCTAGATTATACTCCACTACTAGCTACTTGGGTGTCCTCCTAACAGGTTAAAATTTGAGGAGGGTATATCAAATGTATTTAGCAAATGCTGCAATATTATTTTAGCAAAGTACAGATTAACAGTTTTCAGGCTGTCCTACTGTGATTTGATTAAACCTGTCAAAAAGTTATGGAATGCATGTTTATTATTGAATTTTTATTTTTGTGCAATTTTTAACAGATCAAACTTCAACTGCACAGAAAGCATGCAGGCCTAGGTGCAAGTACTCCTCTCTCTCCTGAAGAGGTTCAGATAATCAACACCAAGAACAAAAGAAATTGGGAAAAAGCAAGAGAGAGATTTGCAGAAAACTTCCAAGATTCTAAAACACAGAAAAACGTACCAAAGGATCTGCCTTGGATTAGAGAAACAACAGAATGAAGTTTTCATTTTAATTTATTAACATGTTTAAATGGTTTTTTATTTTATGCTAAGTGGAACCTGGATTATTTGTAGTATATTTCTTAGACTGCTGTACAGGCTCATTAACTGCAATTCATTGTTCAGTTTACATGCTATTTTTGTTAAAAGCATAGTTTTAAGCATAAGATAATGCATGAATTAAAATGGCCCAGGTTTTGATTTGAAGGGATTTGTGAGATTAGCATTGTGGAACATGTGGAGGGGAAGTGACTTCTTATTTGTAATCTACTAAGTCAGTAAATATTCATTTTTGTTTTTGGATGTTTCATGGATCTCAGTGTATAGACTGATGCAAAAATGCCTTGTACATGTTCAGACTTTTTAGATTTTTAGGAAAAGAGGAGCAGCATTGATAAACCTCACTTCATTCTTATTAAATTACCAGATTGTCAAACAATCCATTAGACATTAATCCTATTTTAAGTGTACTATCACTGGTTTTGATGAAGAAATGTACAAAACTTTGCAGTAAAGCCTTTTTTTTTCTTCTGTGAAGAACTGTGAGGATTGCGTATACAACTCAATATTGAGGTAGCATGTTCACAAACTGCCACGATATTCAAAGCTGCTCTACACTTAAAGAATTGGATGGTTCAGTCCAAGGACTTGTGCCTGTTACAGAATTCAGGAGAGGAAATTGTATACTTACTGGGTAAAGAATTCTCTGAAAAACTAACATAAGGACAGCTCTAAGGTAGTCTGTTTCGATATGGGCATAAAATTTCAAGAGGCATTCAGTGGTAGAATCCAAACGTTCTGTACCACAGTATTCTTAAAGTGTAGGTGGCCTTAGAAAGTAGACTGCTCTCTGCTGTCACTCTCTTTAAGCTATGCTGCAGTAGGCCATGAAATCAAGGGGATGGCTATACGGTTTTTAGCAGACCTGCACTTTTTCTTAACCTATGGGCCTGTCATGTCTCCATTGCTGGCAATGGAATTTAGGCCAGTGATCTTGGTTTCTCTTTCTTTTGTGCTTCAGAGCAGAAACCGGATTGCTTATTTATTGAAATGTCAATAAACCTGTGATTTCAACTTACGCTGTGTGAGTCTTTAGCTCAAGCATGCTAGGAAAAAGGGGTTTCAATCAAAAAGTTTTAATATTAATCTGTTATGTTGCTTGTACTTGTGGGTAGACCCATCTGATTTGGGGCTTACTCCAACCAACCAATAACTCAAACGATCTGTAGTAGATTATTGTATACCTAGTTCAAACAGTTATAATTATGGTTAATTACCAATATGCTTCTTGTTGCATAAATTATTCCATGCGAAACTTTCTCCCTGATTTTTTGCACTGATGGCTTTAAAGGAACAAATGTCACTATATCAGCTTTTGGCTTGGGGAAGAAAAAGTCATTATTAAACAAGTTTAAGTTCCTTTTGAAATCAATTTAGATTCTTCAGATTACAGATAAAGGTTAGTCTGTTCCAGCAACTTACATTTTTTTAACTGTTAAGAAATTCCTCAAAATAGCGCCAGTTTCTGCTTAAACTTGCCCCTTCCTTTATCTTAAGCTTCAGCTTATTTAACAAGGCAGGCAAGATTTATTAAAACCATTATGCCTCTTGCTGCAAAGGTAATTACCTTTCATTTTTTTAAACTCAGAATGGTACATCCCACTACCAACTTTTTGTAGTAGCTCTTTATGCAAATAAATATCAACTCATCTTAAATAGTGCAATGATAACATTGCCTTAAATCATAGAAAAATCTCAGTTATACAGCAGAAGAGCAAAAATACACTTTCAGAAGGCAGGTTTAATGCCTTATTCTTCCATAATAAAATCTAGACAGACAGTTTTCAAAGTACACACAGGTCAGTAGCATAGGCAGGAGTAGAGGTAGAATTACACATTTAAGATAGAGGGATGAAAAGATTTTCTGCACTGATATGCCACTTAACTGCTAACAGATCTCAGCATTTAACACTTGCAGAAGCTAGTGGTTCATTCACATAGTATTTACTGTGGTTTAGAAAAAACGTGTAGTGCTGGTATCATTTTTTGAGACAGTATCCGTATCTTCAGTATAGCAAGATTCTCAGCTGTGGTGTTCTCTCACAACTTCCTTGAAATCTAAGGGAAGGAAATACACTTAATTTTAAATTGTTTATAGTGTTCTTTGTCCATTACTTCTTGTGCAAAAGCCTAACTTCACTGGAAATTTTACAGAAAGAGACCATGAATAACCAACAACTTAAATGACACTCCCTTTAACAGTTTTTGAAATATATGCAACAAGCAACAGTGTTCCTGTACAGGTGTCAAAGAAACATAATTGCTTTTGCAGTTTTGATTTTGGAGGTTGTAACCAATAAATGCAGTACTTACAAACTGCTTTATTTTCTCAGTCCTCCATAACTTGAGGCTTACAGATTATGCAAGAGATGCACGTACCATTTACACATGCAATTTTAATTTTTTTTTGCATGCTCGCTTACACTGAAGATCAAAACTCCGCGGATGTAGAACACTAGCGCAGTTGGAAGAGAAATGAACGAAAAATCTCTCCCTGATGAGCTAGTTTTATTACATTTGGTGACGTTCCAAAATAGAATCAGCCCCGACTTTGAGTTCTGCTATACGCCCACAGCCGGCTTTAGTTGGGCTCCATGTACTAAAAAACGGGAGGTGGCGCGGTTCCTTTCCCAAGCCGCCCATTAACGCGTGAATACTGGGACCAAGCGGGAACAGCGCTACTGTCTACGCCAGCAACTTTCGGGGCAATTCGGTTAATACTGGCATGGTTCAAGATCGAGGCTCTACAAGCAGCGGAGCTTAGCGGTTGAAAGATTTTACTTGAGCCCTGGGCCCCTCTGCTTGGAGAACTATTCTGCGCGCGGGCAGAGATCCTGCTATTCCAGAGGCCTAACTTTAAGATTTGATCATGCACACCTCCTCACAAAAGGCTTTAAAATGACACAGGGTTAGATACTCCCCATGGGCGCCACCGTACGCGTTGTTAGGCAGGAAAAAAAGGATCCATTTCCTGCATGCTTGGAGTTGTGGGCCCTTTTTTCCCCCAAATCATGCAAAGTTTAAGCAAAGGCATGGCAGGATACTTCCTCATCCAGCAACTTGGTGCCCTGCTCTTCAACACATTCCCTGGGAATCACGGAAACTGCACTCCGAACTTCAAGATGGGAATGGCTGCATTCAACTACTTACTCAGTTTGTGCTGAGAACAGGAGAAAATACCCCCAAACAAAATAGGATTTGATGCCGATCTGCAAATCCTACTCCTTGCGTTCCTAGTCTCTGAGGCCTACATTCTGTATGCACTCGGAGGAAGTCTCATCTGAGGTCAGTAAGACTATTTCTGAGGAGACACCACGCATAGGATTGCTCCCTGAAAGAGCGCGCAGTAGTTCCTCGTTCAGCTTCCGCCATTGCCGCCTGCACCCGTGTGCCGTCTCCGCCTAATTCATCTTCCGAGCCCTTTCCAAAGGAAAGGATTTGCCAGTCAGATACAGTTAATTTTTACCTCTACTCCCACCCCACTCCAAAACCCTTTTTCTGAGCCGGCGCAAGCAATCCTCTGAAAGTCTTAGCAAAAAAAAAAAAAAAAAAAGCCGTAACATATTCCAGAGATTCTTCTAAATCACAAATCCCATCCGCTTCTGCTTCAAACGTACAATGTATCACGTGCTTTTTTCTTAAAGAAGCAGTGCTTTCTTTTGTCTGCATTCGGTACAAAAGTGAAGTGCAATTGAAAACTCCTTTAAAGACAAGCAGTTTCTTCTCTGCACAAACATTTCTAAATAGCTTTGCAATAGTTTGTCAAACGAAAATTGCAAATATGTTAGATATTTTCATAACGCTATATAATCATCGTGTACATGTGTTATGCATAATCATTAGTTGTATTTTATTTCATAAAAAGCTACATTCCCATCCCATCTTCTTGCTTATTGCCTGTATCTCATTGAAGGGAAGCAAAAAGTCCCAGGTTATCGATTCATTACTGTAAACTGCAATGAATTCATCATTTGGTCTTTTTTTTTTTTTTTTGATAAATGTACATAGAATTGTTCTGCAAGCTTTCCCTAGAATGTTTGCTAGTCAAGTCAAGTTTTAAAGCAGAGAAGTTTTTTCAGGGACATGGTGGAATACTGTAAGAAGAGCATCTTTAGCTAAGAATGAATTTTAAGTCTCAATGCAATTAATAGGAAGAAAATTGATGCATTTGAAACATGGTTCTGGAGAAGAGTTTTGCCAATATTCTGGACCAACAGAAAGACAAACAAATAGGTCATAGATCCAATCAAGCCAATGAAGCAAAATAACCCAGAAGCAAAAGCAAACCCAGAAACAAAAATGACAAAAGTGAGGCTTTCCCACTTTGGATACATCATGAGAATGCATGATTCACTGGAGCAGACAATCATGGTATGGAAAGTTGAAGGCAGAAGAAAAGGAAGCCCAAATATGAGGTGGAACAAATCCATAAAGGAAGCCACAGCACTGAACTTAAAACAGCTGAGCAGGGCTTGTCATGGACTGGACATTTTGGAGGACTTTCATTAATGGAGCGCCATAAGTTGGAGACCACACAAGTTAAATAAAAGACTGGGCTGAGCCATAGATTTATGCAATGGAACTGATGGGTGTTTTATTTCCAGCCCCTTTCATAATTTCTTGTAGCTTTTGCACTATATCTCACTGAACTTATGCTTTCAGTGAGCTTCCTGCTATGGCTCCATGATTTAAGTAGACAGATCTGACCCCATCAATATATTCTGATCATTTGGATGTTTGTTGTGCATCACCTCATGCTTTCTTAAGCTGAATCATATCTTCTATTCTCTTGCCTGGTCATCTAATTTGGAGAAATACTTTTAGAACTCTTCAGTCCTCTTGGAATTTCCCCATGCTGAATGATTATTATTCTTTCTCTAAACATGGGCACCTCACTGTTACAGAATCTCAATGAGTAAGATAAATACCACCAATTCTAATAAAAATTATTGAGAGACCATACAGTTTATTATCCTAAGTTATGAAAACTATCAATCCCTACCTCTTTTTCCTGATTTTAATCAGTTCCTGATCCTTGTCTTATCCTTTTATCCCATAACACTGATGCTTCTTCAGGAGCATAATGCTCTTGACCAATATTCAGATGTTATTGCACTAATACCATCTAGATGGGGTCGTTCCAGGCCTGGGATTATTGCTTATAAAAAGGAGGAAGGGCCAGTCAAATGCTATGCATTTTCTCAGTGTGTGTCAACTGCTTATTTTTGAGAGACATTGTTATGGCCCTGAGGGCTGGAGTCTGGTCAGTATCATAGGGCCCTGTCAACGCCTGCCCCCCATTAAGGGGCCTCTGCAGGTAACTGGAGCCTCCTGCCCCAACTATTCCTTCTCTGTGATTTTGAGCCTGTTCTCCTACTCTTTCCCTGTGACTGAGGAGAAAGGAGAAGGAGACACAGGAACTTCCATATGCCTTTTCTCTCTCTCTGGGAGGTGGGGCCTATTGAGCCTAGAAGAGGCAAGGCAATGGTCAGAGGAGCTGGGTCCATTCAGGGAAGTTCACTGAGAACTTCCTGGTCAAAGCTACCTCCATGTTCGCCCCTAGAGCCTGCACAACTGGAGCAGCATGTCTTTTGCATTGCCAAAAGACCTGTTTCACCTAGACACTGACTAGTGAAGGAATCCTGGCCATCTGTTGAGTGCTGTGTGTTGCTGTTCAGGCTCCATCTTTGGACAAGCAGTTTTTTCTCTTGGGAATTCTTGAGGAATATAAATTTATCTCCATCTAGAATTTCTACCTCTGCCCGAACATTGACTGGTTTTTATGGACAGTTGTGCCAGACAGTGAAAGATGCCTCTGTATTGCAGAAAAAATGCAAGTGTGCATTTGCACTGCAAACTATTCGTTTATAATATGGGAGTAAAGTGTGAACCACATGTCTTTTTTAAAGTGTGCACATATTTATTTACTTATTTTATATTAAAAAGCTGCCAAGTAGTTCAAATGGACCTTCTATTAGATCTATTTCCATGTGCACACACAAATCAAAAGGTGTCCATGCAACTAGAGACCAGAGCCAATCCAAGTGTATGCCATGATTACCTTATGCCATGATTGCCTACTCAAGGCTTTCCATGTATCTCCTACACAAAGCATACACTGAGTCTGAAATGCAGAGGATTTTAAGGCTGCAATCTTACTACAGAGGTCACTTATGAATCACCAAAAAATAAGACACTGGTTTGTATAAAATGTAAACATGCTAATTTATAAGTATATATCCAATTTAGTGCAGGTGGCACAGTGGTTTAAACTGCTGTGCTGCTGGGCTGGTAGATCGAAAGGTCGCCGGTTCGAATCTGCACAACGGGGTGAGTTCCCGTTGCTCTGTCCCAGCTCCTGCCAACCTTGCAGTTCAAAAGCATGCAAATGCAAGTAGATAAAAAGGTACCACTTTGATGAGAAGGTAACAGCATTCTGTGCACTTCAGTGTTTAGTCATGCCGGCCACATGACCATGGAAACTGTCTGTGGACAAACACTTGCTCCCTCAGCTAGGAAACAAAGATGAGCACTGTCCCCTAGAGTCAGACATGACTGGACTTAACGTCAAGGGGAAACCTCTACTTTACCTTTTTATCCAATTTAGAAATAATTATTATAATTTAAATGGAAATACAGCACATCACACCATAGTGTGGAAGACAGTAACCAGATGACTGATGTGCTTTGCTCAGTCGGCTGTCTAGGCGCTGATGCGGAAAGTCAAGGCTCAGCTCCTTCTTATGGTTCTTGGACCTTAAACAGACTGCAAACCCTTCAAAGAAAGGCCTGCTTTCTATAAAAGTGAGCACATGGCCACTCTAAATCTTATACCTATACATACCTGGCTGTAAGCCCCATTGATCTTAGTGGGACTAAATAAGCATATGTTTGATAGCATTGTACACTAGCTTTGAGAAAGATATCCAGATACGTATCTGAAAGTTTTTTGTAAATTGTAAAGTTTTTGTGGCAGTTGACTGACAGTTCACATTGAACAGTCACAGAGACTGCAGTTGATCAGATTTTGAACAAATTAAAGTATCTGTTTCTGCTTGATGTTCCAAGGAACTAAAACTTCTTCTCTTCCCTTTCTAATAATCATTCACTTGCATTGTCTTACATTACAGTAATTAGCTGAGGAAGAACATTCTATTCTTATATGTTCAAAAGGCCATGAAATATCTATGTACTTAATAGAAACATTTGCCTGCAAGATTTGATCTTTAGCACTAGAATGTTACTTGGTAACTATAACAGTTGCCATAATCATAATGATTTAAAAGGTCATCTTACAGTGACAGAAATATGCTCAAGTAAAAAAATAACAGCACGAGTAC